GAGAGAGAGAGAGAAAGAAAGAAAGAAAGAAAGAAAGAAAGAAAGAAAGAAAGAAAGAAAGAAAGAAAGAAAGAAGAAAGGAAGATCATCAAATTTCCTGGTTATATTGACAATAGAACTGAACTTGCATTTAGTTGGATTTTACAATCATATCTTCCAAGATTTTATTTCTCCCTTCTCTATATAGTCTTTGTCCAGCTTCCATTTCTCTTCCATCTCAATATGCTTGTTGTTTCCCTTATTGATTCTTTTGAAGTAGAGTGGAAAAAAAGAAGGGGAGACTTACCTATGTATCTTATCCTAAAACCTTTTTTGTTGGTACCATGGTCTGCTGACCATCGGAGAAATACTTCATGGCCAGTGCTTGTTATATTGAGAGAGGAGGTATAATCTCCACTTAAGGAGATTAGCAATGGGCTATGACTGTTTGGTCCTTGATCCCAGGGAACACATATGAGGGAAAAAGAAAGACCAAAATTAGAGAAATGTTAAATGTTTTTGTTGGATATATAATCACTTGAATAATGAAATATATTGCAGCCATCTGTTCATAGCATGTGAAAATGTTCATTAATTGTATGCAACAATCACACTGTTATTTCTGATACAATGCATAATGTAATATTACTTGCTAAAAGAACTATTATGCATTCAAAGTTGAATATCCTTTAGTTACCATCAAACACCTCAAGTATATCAAATTCTTTCTCGGTCTGGAAGAATTCAAAGTAAAGGCTGATATTGTAACCCTTTTCCACTGTAATGGTCCAAGCACACATTTGAAGATTTGGATAGCTATCTGGGTAGCCTGGGCTGAGAATCACTCCAGTTGAATCAAGGCGCAATTCATTTGCTGGACACAATACTGCAAGAGAGAGAGAGAAACAGAAACAGAGAGATAAACAGAGAAATAAATAGAAAAGAAAATGAGCTGTAAACAACTGAATAACTGAAAAGATATAGAATAATTGGGGTCTTTTTAGCTTGGACATCAAACACTTCACCCCAAATACATTAAATCATGCATAAATGTCTGGAAACAGTAGAGAAGAAATGTATTTAGATTCTTGTATTTGATACGTTCATCTTTGTATATTTTAGATATTCTTTACTGAAATGATGTCTATTTATCCAAGTATATCTTATTATGTATCAAATAAAAAGAAGCTAAACTCTTCCAAATAATTGTCACTTTGGATAGAATAGGGATGCAGCCTTTATTGGCTATCAACATCCTTTGTGGACCTATAAATTTACACTTTGAGAAAATTTTGATGNTTGTATCTTCAGTTTCATCACATTAGTTTGTAGTGCTTGCTCTTGAGCAGGCAATATTAAACCTTCTGTTTCTTTCTTGATGGTTCCATCATCATCATCATCATCATCATCATCATCATCATCATCATCATCCCAGGTAATCCATTCCTAAGCCACATGTAGGTTAAAAGTTAAAAGTTCTGGCCAGGATCTTAACAATAGTAAGTTTGAAGTCCTAGTGTGAGCATGTCTCATAGAACAGCATTCCATAGACAAGACATCATGTTAAGACCCTTTCTTCAATCATCAATACTGTAATGTCCAATGATGATGAAACAGAAATGTGTTTATTAAATTCCAGGGTGAGCATTAAATCTCATAAACTCTTTTGGTGCATACAAAGTTCCTACTGATAATAATTAAGGGGAAAAAAAAACTGTTCTCTTTGGTGATTACCAGTGTGCTTTAAGAATAAGAACTGATTACTTTGTCTCATACCATCATTTCTATGTTGTAGCTTATTGCCTGAGTAAGCTCCAGTGGATGAAGATCTATGATAAAGACCATAAGACTCCATTTATTTTTTACCTCAGTCATCTTCAATTAGCACCATTGGTGCCAAAATGTAGAAATGGGTACTATGGTGTCACAATAACCTTTTCATACTTGCATCACAGTTTGCATGCCAGTGGATAATGTCAAGTCTTTTGCCACTTGATCTCCTCATGTGCCCATGTATAGATGCCCCAATTGAGAAACAATGCATACTATTAATTGTGACTGGAAAGCAACTAACAAACCATTTATATCTCATGAACTGGAGATACATGTACTCTTTAACTGACGGCTGTGTGCTATCTTAAGGAAAGTAAGCAGGCCTGTCCATGAACTAGGATAAAAAGGGTTGGTTGTCTTTTGTAGAAGTGTGCACAGATAGTCTTGGAAAAAAAATTAAGTAATTAAGCCTTTCCCCAATAAAGAAAGAAGTGAAGAAGAAACTCAAGATCAGCCCACCTTGATTCTGCTGAGTATAAGAGGAAAAAGGAACAAGAAAATCTACCAGGCTTTCAAAATTCTGTTTTTATAGCTAGTCTCCATTCTAGTATTTATTTTTATTTTTTTGTAATTTCTGTTTTCTGGCCTGGTCTACTTCAAAGGGCTAACATTATCAGAGCCAAACAATAAGAATGTAAGTTTGTAATGAAAATCTTAACCTTGGCAGGCCGGTACAGGTACATCCCATGCATAATATCCAAGGGGGGATTTTCTACACACAGCAGTGCTTTTCCCAACGAGACGGAATCCTCGATCACAAGCCCAGCGAACCACGCTGTTGAGTTGCCCTCCTGTCTGGCTTACAATGAAACCATGAGGTGGTGATTCTGGAGTACTGCAGTAAAGAGCTTGAAAACAGAACCAAAAAAAAAAAAAAATCTTACATTTCTTCCTTCTATGGATGTTAATTATTGCACTGTTTAATAGCAGACAGGTGTCTGCAGGAATTATATGTGTGATTGCTTTTTAGCAATGATGCTACAAACAGTGGGGAAATAAAACCACCCTGTTTACCTAACAGAGGAAAATAAATCCATTTATTTGGGGTTCATATTACCGGGGATCTTTTCCCTGGCATCATTTCTCTTCTGGGGAAATGGGAATCATGCGGCAATGTATGGAAGGACAGGTGTGCAGATAGTGAGATCTACATAGTAAAATGAAATTTCCAATCAGTCAACAGGATGTTGCAACTTTCAATGTTCTTACACCCATGTGTAAAGGGATATTGCAAATATCAGTATTGAAATAAATCTTATAAATAAGAACCAAAGGAATATGTTCTTTTTGCCCCGCAAGTACCAACATTATGAATTCTCCCCATTGTGTGTGTGTGTGTGTGTGTGTGTGTGTGTGTGTGTG